TATATATATATATATATATATATATTTCCAGACAGTAGCTACTATTAATTTCTTTTGGTGTAACATTTGATGGAAAAAAAAATACTTTGTCAAAACAACATGATCATCTCATGTATGTGTTGACTTAATGTCTACTGTAATTAAAATAAAATGAAAGCAAAGTTGCCACTTTCAGTGCAGGTGAATAGTAAGAATTTTTTTTGCTCTTGTTTAGTGACTCTGTTTCATCTCTGATGATATCACTCTTAATCATATTGCTTTATTGCTAACAGTAACGCAATATTTCAGCAATGCAATTTAATGATTTAAATTTGGCAAAACAAGTTTTGACTCACTGATTCCGCACAGACACAGCGGTGTGAACCGAGGAAACATTTCCCTGCTGAATACAGTATTTGTGTTTGGTGCATGGTTGAAAGCAGGTGTGGAAGTACGCTGAGATTTCTTCCAAACCACAGAGTGTGTTTGTGTAAGGTTCTGAAAATGACGCAATATCAGAAGATTTTGTGTTACATAAATGACACATTGACTCAGTGCCTCTACTGCCGTTGACAGTCAGGTCGCTGCTGTCAGTGTTGCTTTGGCCTTGTTTTTAAATTAAATTTACAGTATGCTGTATCTTGAACACTCCCTCCGAAAGAACATCTGATTATGCCATTTGCTTTTCTCATGCAAAATATATTCATGTAAGACTGTACACTCTAGAAAATGCTGGGTTAAAAAGGGACAAACCCAGCTATTGGGTTGTTTTGACCCAACCCAACCGCTGGGTCAAAACAACCCAATAGCTGGGTTTGTCCCTTTTTAACCCAGCGCTGGGTTATATTTAACCCAGCATTTTTTCGAGTGTAAGAATAAAGGATCCGCACCCTCGTGCACTTGCTGGATGTGTGGTTGCGCAGGTGTTATCTGAGCTATTTAAACAGAAGGTGACCCGAACGCCGTGCTGTCTGTGGGGGAGGCTGGTGCTGAACACAGAGATCGCGTGTGACTGGAGACCTGACCACCCACTGAGCTGAAATGCTAAACAGAGCGCTGTGTGTCTGTTGAGAAGAGCTGCTAAAAGGTTTCCGGTGTCATTTCTCACGCACTTTTTTTATGCCAATTTTGACTAGTAAAAATTCCAAATTAAATCTGTTATGCAAATTTGATTATACTGTTAAAAATTAACTGGTCATTTTCTGCCCGGAGATTATCCTTTAATTGTATGGTCATTTCCGTTAACCCTAGAACACAATGCAATGCAGTGCAAAATTCGTAAATCACCTGTAAAATATCAATACAGAAAATTCCTTCATATTAATACAGTTCATTATGCCACCTTTAAAAAATTCCAATTATAACTAATTAGATCATTATATTGCAGTTTTGCGTGTACAAATCGAAATTACTTAAAGATATCTATGATTGAAATTATGAATATAAAAATTACAAATGTCCAATGAAAATGAAATGCAATATTTCTAATTGTTATTCTTATTTATACGTTCTTATTTATAAAAGGTTACAGTACTATAGTTAATTAAAATTAAAACCATAAAAAATCATTACTTAAATAAATTTATGTTTCATTTAGTTTATTTGGCAAGGCAACATTTCATGTTTTCATTTCATTTAGTCTGGTTATCAAGGTAACATTTTTCATTTTGATTTAGTTTAGCTAAATGCTAAAGTGACTAAAAAATGAATAAAACAATATAGACCTTTTTATATAAAAACAACTCATATAAATGACAAAAACACATAAATTACTAAAATAAAAACAGAAAATATAAAAATTAATTCAAAATATTAATAAAAACTATAATATTATTGCAATTATACTAAAAATAATATTATTGCAATTATACGAAATTGCATAACATCTTTCTGATATTTGTTTCGGAAATGTCTAATATGAAATGCAATTTTTAGTCAAAATAACATTGCACATAACTGCTGTTTAAACTTTAAAGTATTTGAAATTGCGTTTAATTTAATTGAAATTCCTATTCAAAATTCTATTATTGCTACTAACATTATATGCATCCATCAGAAGGACTTTTTAAATGGAGTCTAAATTTAAAAACTGAGATTTGTTGCTGTGATTGCTGCAGTGTTTGTTTTGGTAGGCATCAGCGCACTCTCTAACTCTCTCACACTTCCACTCCCTGAAACTTCTGTTTACAGAAAGTGTTCTTGGAAGGAACGTTACATGAACAGGAATTGTTCGAACAGAGACTGGCATCCGTGCTATGAGCAGAATCTGCATGCGTGAGAAATGCTCCAATTTCTGATCGTGCTTAGAATGAGAGCAAGGGCTAATAAGAATAATATTTTTTTTTTTCAGTGAAATATTTTATTTGATCATTTTAGTTACTTGACAAAAAAATGAAGAAATAGAAAGTTTTAGACTGATCTAACAATCTCAGCATGTAAAAACTACATGTCATCTTAGAAAAAAACTTTTAATAAAAAAAAAAAGGGCGGTCCTCTCTTACAGTGGCCACATGACCAGCCAAGTGACACTGAATGACAATCTGAATGTTCGACTTGGGAGTGGTTAATTTCATACTAATTATTCTTTCTATGGCAATAATATTAACTCCAAAATGAATCTGTGTAATTTGATCAGTAGACAAAACCACAATACATCAAGTAACGGTTATTATGCAAATGCATTTTTAATAGTTTTATTCAGTTTATTGAACAGGACATTTGACATTAGTTATCCAGCTCTGTTCTAGCAACATTAAACTGTATTGTATGTCTCTTATGTTCAGATTATAATTGCATTATTAAGATGTTAAAAGTACCAAATTGTTGGAATTGTTAAAGCGAAATGTTAGCAGAAATGTTAATATTTGGCAGTACTTCAAAAATCATTTAAATTGTGGAATAAATTAATCATGGGTGATGTATGTCTTTGGGTATTTTCATGATTGCTAACCACAAAAAAAAAAAGGATCTATAAGCTTACAAAATCTTTATTGAATTTCTTTGATACATTAAAAGGAGTCTAAAAAAGAAATACAACTAAAGTAAAGATGTATTTTATTCATCCTGTTTTTTGTTTTTTTTTGTAAATTTGTACAAATTCTCAAACCTCTTGATTACTGACAAATAATGAGTTTATCTTTGTTCAGAAGTCACTCACCTGGGGCCTGTACCATGATGGTAGATGAACAAATTCAGTTACAGGATTAGTTTTGAGTTGACAAAACCAAACCACTCCAATCCGGCTTTGTTGGTACCATGATGCTGATCATCAACTTTCTTTGTCAACTCAGGCTTTGATCCGGAGTTTGTGGAGCGCGTGCACATGAATGTGTGCCATCAGTGTCAAACAGCCAATCACATGCCTTGCAACACAGAGCAAGTGTGATTCACTTCTCGCGAAAGAGCCAGCGAGATTCAAAACTCTTTTCTTAAAGGTTAAGAGATGAAAGAATTTGAGGAATATAAATGCATTTACACTGAAGTACTTGTCCATGAAAGAGGACAAATAAAATAAATTATCTCGTTCTATTAGTGCAGTCACAAGTGAAACTTTTGTTTATGTTATATAAATAGCGATTTTAAAATTTTTAAAGCATTATCTATTGATTCTACCACTTATGTATATTACATATGAGCTGTATATATTAATATTAATTTAAAATAAATGCTTTATATTAATTGTTAAACTAAAATTGCTTGTGTATAATGGATTAATAGTAATATAAATCATATAAGTATATAAATCATAATTATTAAAGCCAGACAATTTTGTCGTATTTTTTAAGGTATTTTATAGTGACCTTTAATTTGTAGGAAGAGAAACTGGGGGAGTGCCTTTTTTTGCGTCAGACATGTGTCACTTTGCTCACATCTGATTGGTCCAATTTCAGTTTGAGATCTCTAACTCAGAACATAACCTGCCCTGGAGCAGGTTAGCTGTGCAGTGTAAGTTACTATGGCAATGAACGCTGCTAAAAGCCAAGCCACTTTCATGGTACCTAAAACCCAGGATTGGTGCAAACTAAACTGAAACTTACCTGGCTAGCCAGCTAATCTGGCTTCATGGTACAGGCCCCAGTTTGACGTGATGCTCAATGAACACATAACTACCATGTTTATTGATGTTTGTATGTAAAGAAAAAAAAAAAGTCGGCATGAAATGGAAATTCACCATTCACTAAATAGTATTTTTCGTAATTATGAGTAAGCAAATAAGAACTGTTTTATGACTCCAATTCCTATACATGTTCTTCACAAGTTTAAACAGTCCACATTAATCCTGCTATTGATAGAAAACGGTGGCACTGCTCACCTCACCAGTCCATTCGAATGAGATACGAATGAGATATAAACACTCAAGTGAATAAGATGATATGCTCAGGCACTTTGTTTTCCATCTATGCAAAGAAAGATACAAAGAATTTTACTTGACATCTAATTTGATTTTGATGTTCATTGCCGCAAGCTCTGCTACAAAGTATCTAAACACATAAGGAACAGACACAGTCTCAATAGAGTCGCTCTTGTTGCACAGCAAGCAGATGGTTTTCCGATGGCGTGTATTTGACCAATAAGGAGGCGGCTTCTCCAGAAGCGGCGACAGCAGGCTACCGCAGTCCATGCAAACCTGTGCCACAGAACGGTCTGAGCAATTAAACAGCCGGTCGTGGAGCAGGAACGATGTCCCGTGAGCCAGCAGAGCATCCCGTTCCATCTCTCCGAAGCGGATTCCTCCCTGAACGTTCCTCCCTCCCAGCGGCTGATTGGTCACTTTATCTCTCGCTCCCGTAGTTCTAACCTGGAACTTGTCGGAGACCATGTGACGCAAGCGCTGGTAGTAAACCACCCCGATGAAGATGTCCGCCTCGAGCTCCAAGCCGCTTATGCCGGAGTAGAGGCGCTCCGTGCCATAGTAGTTGTATCCCGCGGCTTTCAGCATTTCGCCGAAGTGTTTGAGCGCAGAGCTCTCCTCGGAGAACTTGAACGGCGTGGCGTCGTGACACAGGCCGTGGAGGGCCGCGGATTTTCCAGCCATGCTCTCGATGAGCATCCCGATGGTCATTCTGGAGGGGAAGCCGTGCGGGTTGAACAGGATGTCTGGGCACATGCCACTCTCGGTGAAGGGCATGTCCTCCGCAGGCCACAGGCGGCTCAGGATTCCCTTCTGACCGTGTCTGCTGGCGAACTTGTCTCCGATGGTGGGGTTTCTGGGAATGCGGGTTGTGATGCAAATGCGCTTGAAGCGGCCAGTGCCGGTGTCATTGCTGCACACCTTGATGTTGTCCACCACACAGCTCTCCTGGTACCTGCGGAGAAACAGAGCTTCAGAAATCAATCAAATCTAAAGATATACAGCTGCACTAAACGTAAAAATATCAAATCATCCCGTTATAAGTAGACTGAAGCGTTGTACATTGACTTGTTGCCTGGTGATAAAGTGCATTTCCAATTAGAATACTTATTCAATTTTTCATTCATTCATAAAAAAAATAAAATAAAAATCCTTCGCAAAATGTGATTAGTACTTTGCCAAATCAATAGTGTTAATCTCGTCAACAAGGCTACAATATATATTTTTTTAAATATTAAGAGTATTTTTAAGAACAAAAAATTAGAACAGTACTAATCAATCTCAAGGCACATTGTTAATGCACTCTTTTTGTAATTAAGGGGGAAGTTGTGGCCTAATGGTTAGAGTCGGACTCGTAACCCAAAGGTTGCGAGTTCGAGTCTCAGGTCCGGCAGGAATTGTAGGTGGGGGGAGTGAATGTACAGCGCTCTCTTCCACCTTCAATACCACGACTGAGGTGCCCTTGAGCAAGGCACCGAACCCCCAACTGCTCCCCGGGCACCGCAGCATAAATGGCTGCCCACTGCTCCGGGGGTGTGTTCACGGTGTGCGTGTGTTCACTGCTGTGTGTGTGCACTTAGGATGGGTTAAATGCAGAGCACTAATTCCTAGTATGGGTAACTATTAGGGCTGCACGATAAATCGCATGCGATATTTAACTCTGTGTAGTTAATGTTGCTCCATGTGAAAGCCCGCAGGTGATGGAGATTTACCGCTGATTACAGAACCGGCTTTACTCATAAGATGCGCGTTAAATATCGCATGCGATTTATCGTGCAGCCCTAGTAACTATACTTGGCCACGTCACGTCATGTCACCGATATTTAACTCTGTGTAGTTAATGTTGCTCCATGTGAAAGCCCGCAGGTGATGGAGATTTACCGCTGATTACAGAATGGCTTTACTGACAAGATGCGCGTTAAATATCGCATGCGATTTATCGTGCAGCCCTAGTAACTATACTTGGCCACGTCACGTCATGTCACTTCACTTTAATATGAGCAACTAAAACAAAGAATTGTACTACAATAGCATATTATTTATAAATGTTTAAATAAATATATAAAATGTCTGAAACATTTTGTACTTTGTCAACTAAAATGTTTCTTATCACACAGCGGTGTTGTTATTATTAACTAAAACTTGTTGTGTTTTGTTAATTGAAATAATTTAAAAAATAATACACTTTTGTAATTAACAGAATTACAACAAAATTACAGATAATTAAGCTTACTGATAAAAAGTATAAAAGATAAGAGATGAAAATAAGAGCAACTAAAGACTAAGGTATTGTACTATAACAGTGTTCTCTAATTTTAGTAATGTTAAATGTTGATACATTTAATAAATATGCAAATTTTGCACTGTCAACTAAAATGTTATTTCCATAACATTACAGCTGTGTTATTGTTAACAAACAATTAAAACTAGTTTTTTGTTAATTTAGCTAAATCTGAAAAAATAAATATTAAACAACCCTCTACGCACACCTTGGCAATATAATCGCCATTGGCTAGTAAATTGTTTTGTTAACTCGCCAGACTGATATACTATTTTACACACACACACACGTTTACTTAGCTATCTAAATGGGGACATTACATAGACTTCTATTGTTTTTATATACAGATAATTATACTCTTTTTAACCTAAACCCACCCCTACCCCTCAAAGAAAACTTTCTGCATTTTTACAATTTCAAAAGTAAAAAAAAAAACTTTGTTTACTTTATTTTAACAGTTTTAGAAAAAAGGACATCCGCAAATTGAGGTTTTTGCCGATTTTGTCATGTTTTGCTCACTTTTGGGTACAAATTGTCCCCAAAATATGGTTAAGTAGGTACACTCACACACACACACACACACATGATTCCACCCAATCAGCTTATCTTTGTAAAATGGAACAGCTTCTTAAATAACTGAATGTGCACTCTTAACTTCAGCCAATCAAGCATTATATTATGATATTATGATAATTAAGCACCATTTAATGATAGAACTAGTGATTAGAACTAAAACTTGTTAACCATGAATGAATGCATATTTGTCATTTTAACTGAACTTAGGACTGGTGATGGTGTTTAAGATATTAAACTAAAAGAAACTTACAAAAAAAGACAAACTGAATGAAAACTTAAAATATAAAAATAAAAGCTAATTAAACATATTAATAATATAGTAATATAAAAAATAATGTCTTACTTGTAGAAGTTCACATAACTCTGGCCGGTATTAAGATTGATGTAGCTGTAGTAAGGGTCTCCATAATTCAGCGTGGAGCCGATAAACGGCAATCCGTCTGCATCCAGTCTGTCCATTACTTTGGGGTCATCTGGCTTCACCCCAAACACAATGCTGTCATCACCTTTGACCTTATCGGACAGGTCTATGAGCTCAGTCTTATAAACAGAACCATGAGCAAAGCCACGCTCCCATGAAGACTTATTGACGATCTGACGAAAAATTAAAAAACACTAAATATTAACAAACGCAAAAGAATGCTTCGGAGCAAGCGTAATCATGGAAGTTATGCTTACCATAGCGTCTTCCATATCGTAGCCAGTGTAAGAAATGACAGCCACTATCGCGTTGGTGCCAATAGGGTAATTATCAATGTCGTAGTGATCGTACATCGCAGGTCTGACCAGAGGACTCTGAGGGGTCTGCAGACGGTACAGTTTATTGTCTGATCGTTCCTGGTATGAATGCAGCGGGAAGCCCATTGTCTGTTTACCTATGATAGGATGATGTCTTAGCTGACATGTTTTGATAGAATTTATTTAGACATAATTCATCAAAAAAAGGACATGAGGTTCTTACTCATCTGGCACTGGTACATGTTTCTGGGGCTCTGATTGTGATCAGAGAATGGGATGAATTCTGCCACCACACTCAACATGCTGTGAGGAAACAGCTCTTGATGCGTGGTCACTCCTTGCTCCAGCTCCTCCTCGAAGATGCCCACGTTCAGATACACCTGAACACAAAGAAACATTCGAAGGATGCAGAAAACAGAATGCAAAACTGTGTACTTAAAAGGCTTTCATGACAGAAAAAACTATAATCCCATGAAGCATTGTAAATGACAATCAAATTAAAAACTACAAACAGAACAATCTTGATTGAAAGATGTTGACTGTGTATACAGAAACACTATATTTTACGTTTAATGCATTTAGGTAGTTTGAAAGCGTAGGAGACCGACTATTATGTCATTCGCAGTGCATGATGGGAGTGAGTGTGTGCTAAAGTCTTTTGGCAAGATTTGCTCATTTTGATTCTCTGATCGATGGATATCTTTGCAGAATCATGGGTAATTAAGTTTTTCCACCAGGAATTCTGCTGTTAAATTACCTAAAAAAAAATTTTTTTTTTAAATAATGCAGACTGACGGCTTTAACAAAAGCACTGATTAACAACCTGCTAGCTCACACAGTATGTCTGTCTTTACCTATTTATAGGTTCCCATATGGACAAAACGAATTGGCTTTTTACTTGCAGATCCCGTCTGTTGTGCTCTATGGTAAACTAAGACGAGGCAAATTTTGAATGTATGCTTGACAATGCTTTAGAAGTAGTTATAGAGCTAGGTTGCTAAAATGTTCAGTGTGATTTCTGAAGTATTTGGGGTCATTGCTAGGACATAAGAATCTGAAGCAGAGTTTAAAAGCTCCAGCAAAATATAAAACAGTCAGAAGTGATCAATGGAAGTATATGGGATTTTTTTATCTTCTGCAGCAGTCTGTCAAGCAAACCGATTTTTTCTACTAATTAACAGTGGTACTTAAGTTAGAACAAATTTTCTACTAAATGGGTTCTCTCTTCTCACCTGTTCGAAGGTGCCAATAAGCTCCTGTTTGCCCAGGCTGAGGTTCCGGACGGGCCGCACCATGCGACAGGGAGTCGTGGACAGATAGAGGCCTGGGTACAAGCTGGCTTTACCCGTCTGAGGAACCAGAACGATCTCAGTCCAGGGCGGAATTCTTCTCTCTCCCAGCACCTGCAGGTGACACAAATGTTCAGATTTATATTATAATTATTATATTAAAACTATCAACATAAATAACTCTGAGGTTGATCCAGGATAATTAAACTACAGAAAAAACCCAATCAATTGCCCACCTTAAATCTGCGAAGAGATTCGATGACTGATGGGGCCACTTCTTTTTCCACCCAGCCAATCATGGCCCCGTCCAGTATGACAGGATAACAGTCCGAATACGGCTGACCGGGGCTCCCGTCTGCCGCAGTTACACCTGGTGATAGAGAAAAACGGTTTTAATAGTAAACATACAATTAATAGGTAGGACTGCATGATGATGACGGGGTGGGGGGTGATGATATCTAATTGTTTTTTTCCCCTTTTCCATGATTAAAAACTGTGGTTGTGGTTTAAAAATGCTTTCAATTTCATTTTAAAATTTGAAAAAAAGTATTTAATAGTGAAAAAATATTTTAGTACAACTGCAAGATTACAATACCAATATAAATAGCCGTCTTCATTTATTCATTTTTAAACATTAATCCATTAAACTTTTATTTCAGCTGACTGCAGGAGGCCTTAAAGCGTCTGTTTTGTTGCCAAAAGCCGATTTATAAGTGCTTCTCATTACATGTTTAGGAAGAAGGTTGCCATATGTTACTTTCCCAAATGCACGTATATATCTTGAATAAGATGTTATTTACCCAGAGAGCAGAGCAGGGCAGGCAGGGTTGTTGTGGGATGCATTGGGGCCACAATCTCGCAGTGGGCTGTCAGGTGGTTCATAAGGCCGCACGGTTCTCCGTCAGGAGTGTGAACCGGGCACAGGAAACCCCAGGACTCCGGCAGCAGCTTCCTCACAGATGTGGTCCTCATCTTAGCGAAGGCGGCTCCTCTGTGCACGCAGCGGAAATGAGACAGGTAACGGATGAAGTTCAGCTTATCTGCCACGACACACAGTCCGGTGTCCTGCAGCATGCCCAGACCTGAGGTTTAAAAGACAAATGTTAGCTATTATAAAAGCATTCAACGCCTGTGAATGCACTTCAGTTCTGGGACTCTGTTAGTTGTAATGCCAGTGTCATACCCGTCTTGGACTGGAGGTTTCCTGTGGCTAACAGATACTCAAAGGCTCTGGTGAGATCTGTACCCGTGTTGAAGAGTCTGGTCATACTATCTGAAGTCAGTCCACCCACTCTCTGACTTCTCTTGTCCAAGGACAGCTTTACCGATACAAACCAGCCTGCCATTTTCTCCTAAAGAGCATTCAGAACAGCTTTGGAAAATCATTGCACAAAATAGCCATCTTGAAGCATCTATTCTACATTATGTACTTGCGGCAGTATATACACTACACAAAATTTGGGGTTGGTACTATTTTTATTTATTTATTTATTTTCCAGTCGGGATTTATTTTTGCTCAAAACTTGTAGTAGAGACACTAATAATGTTAAAAAAGACAGATTTCCGCAAAAAAATATAAAGCAGCAAAACTGTTTTAAACATTGATAATAAGAAGAAATATTTTGTTGAGTAGTAAATCAGCATATTAGAATGAGAATGATTTCTGAAGGATCATGTGACACTGAAGACTGGAGTAATGATGCTTTATTAATCAGAACTAAAACTTAGATTTTTAATCAATTAAAATTTGTTTTAAGTAATCAAAAACTAAAATAAAATATTAAAATTAGAACCCGAACAAACACAGCTATACAGCTATATATAAATAAAAACATTTACTTATATAGTCTAGAGCAGTGTTTCCCAACCTTTTTTTAGTCGCGGCACCCTTTGGAAATTTTAACAAACTTGTGGCACCCTACAAAATTAATTTTGTCACAATATTACCTGTGATTTTTGTACGATCCTGAAGACATTGATTAGCATGCTCAGGTGTTCAGGTGATTAGGGTTAGAGCTAAACTCTGCAGGAAAGTGGAACTCGTGGGCCAGATTTGAGGATTCCTGGTCTAGAGCATATAACAAACTAAACTAAAATTACAACTAAAAATAGAAGCCAATTAAAATATGAATAATACTACAATAGTATATAAATAATACTAAAATAACACAGGATAATGTACAGTCAGCTGGCCATTATCAGAAAAGAAACACCTTCAGAATGTCTAAAGAAGCTTATAAGAGAAAACAGCTTCCTTTTACCTTCAGTGCAAAGCCCAAGGGAAGAAAGAACAGCTCCTTTCGGTAAATGAAATTCACCATCACCGTTCCATTGTCCAGGTAGTGAAGATTCATATTAATGGCTGTGTGTTCGCCTCTTACACAGCGCATCGAAATAGCTGCACACAGTTAATACCCATTCAATATGTATATTTATGAAATCATATAGATTTTTTCAATCTGGAATAAATGCAGCGCTCACCGTACTGAGTGTAGCCCTGTCCTCTGCTCTTAAACTTTGGTCTTGACACTGTGATGGGATAGTTCCTCCTTGGCATGATCAGAAGACGAATCACCTTCTCTATGCCGTTAACGATGAAATAGCCGCCCATTTCCTACCAGTAAAGCAAGATTAAGTGTCATTTTGTCCAAGAGAATACCATATGATAGTGGCGTGTTACATGCAGCGATTTTACCTCAGCTTCTTCGTGATGCTCGATGAGTTCTTTGGGTGAGAGACCATGAAGGTTGCAGAGTTTTGATTTGACCATGATCGGCACATTACCCAGAGACTGTTTGATGATTCCTTTGGGAACGCCATTCATAGACCAACTCACGTCTGCCTGTGGAAAAAAAAAAAACACTGATGCTTGTTAAATATTTCTGCTTTAGAAATCAGACTGGATAATCAAGAAGTGACTGAACAATCTAAAAATTACATATTTAAAAAAAAAAAATTATGTTTAACAATTTTGAACCCTTTAGTTACTATGATTACTTAATATGGTTTAAACATTTAATGGTTTGAATAATAGATTTGTTACCGTGTTATATAACTGGAGTAAAAAGCTTGTAAAATCTATAGAATTATATGATTAATGCAAGTAAAATATTAAATATACATTCTTATATAATTTCATATAAACACGTGTATATTTGCATGCATCACATGCAATTATGAATGTGAAATACACAAATATCGATTTAGTACATACTTGTGTGTACCTGTTTTTACTACATACTTGTGCATACACACACACACACACATTTAACTTAATTATATTTAATGGTCAGACTTACCACTAGCTTTCCTCTGTAAGTACAGCGCCTGCCTCTGCATTCAGCAGGGAAGACCCGCAGGTCACTGCTGATTCCTCCTTTAGAAACTGCTGGGGTGTGAATGATGGCCTCCACAAACGACAGACTGATCCTGTCTCCCTTGTACATGAACTCCATAGGAGGAATGGCCTGAAAGCAGAGATATTTTACTTGTTTATTAGGCAGCACTAGCATATACATGCATTTGTCAAGTGTCTGTAGAGAATTTACATGTGTATAAACACGTGTGTTTGTGTGTGTCTGCACCTCACCTCCACAACCCGACATAATCCATCAGTAACTGCCTGATCAAATGACTCAATGTGCGCCTTCACCAGCTCCTGCACGGACACGCGTTGCTTTTCTTTCGGGACACTCGGGACACCCTCTGTCAAATGTTTTAAACTCGGTTCGGACTTTAAATTGCACCACTTGTTAAGATCCATAAGATCCATGACACACGTGTGTGTTTGTCAACGTGATCTCGGAAGTAGCGCAAGACTTCCTGTACACTACTTCAAAATAAAAGTATTGTTTTTATAAATGGTTTTAAAAAGTCACACAAAAAATTGACAACTGCTTACTGTCACGCCTTTCAACCCAAAACTTTAACCATAAATATAGTTTTATAAATATTTGGGGCTCTGTATTTAAAACAATCCACATTCACTGTATGAAAATAGTGGCAAAATAAAATAATATGAATTCATTTGAACTTTTAGATCGTTTAAATAAATCAATAGGAAATTAATCATTTATATAAAACTTTGTTACACATTTTTTAAAATTACAGATACTTTTCTTTAGGTTTTAACGCTCGTATTGACCTGTAGGAAAATAATAATAATAATCACACTCA